GTTGTTTGAGCCCAGGAGTTTGAGGCTAAAGTGAAGTGAGCTATGATCGAGCCCCTGCTCTCCAGCCTGGGGAACACACCTAGAATCTGTCTGTACTCACACCGAAAAGGACAGTGGAAAATCCCAAACTTTTAAAGCCTGCCCGGGAATAGAAAAGCTTTCTTCCAGGCTGTCCACCATTCGAAATCTTGGTTTTCTTAGCTTCGTATGGGGGTGATCATAAGAATTACACTGTGTACTCCAACATACAAATGCAAACTGATACTAAGCTAAATTGTTCACCTTGATGAACAGGGGGGGTGGCAGGAGGGAAGAAAGCACAGGCTCCTTAAGGCAGATTGGAGCTGGCCCCTCCCCGTGCATCCCCCCATCCTCTGAGGGTCCTCCAGTATTCTCAGGATCACACAGCCGTCCAGCACGGAGCCCGAGTCAGGGACCTCCGGTGTCCTGGAGCCACCCCGGGCTAGGAGGTCTGTGTGCAATGAGCCAGGTAATCCCCGGGAACCCTGATGGAGTCCTGCGCTGTCTGCTGTGAGCCCTCCAGAGCCGACCTCAGCAGAGGGGCCTCCAGTCTCAGAGACCCGGGTGCTTACCCAGGGAAATCTTCTCCCCGGAATCTGCAGGAAGCAGGAACACCAGCAGGGCAAGGGCAGAGATGAGCACACAGGGGATCAGCAGGTTGAGGCCATAGTAGAGGGTCCTGCGGCGCATGGTCACTGTGAAGGTGACATCGGGGTAGGGCTCTTTGCAGCACTCATAGAACTTTTCACTCCTCTTGCCGGGAATTCCTCCATAGGGAGGAGGAGAGAAGGAGCCATTGTTAGAATACAATAAATTACCCTGTTTATTTCAATGTTTATACCACACACAAGCATAGCCCTAAAGTTTGCAAAGTGCTTAAAAAAAAAAAAAAAAAAAGGGGGGGGGATGTAATTAGCTTGAATAAAACCTGTTGATTTACTATAGCATTAAGAGTATTTTAGTGATAGTTGGCCAAATTGGTAGATATTCTTTTGGTGGATTGGAAACACATGATTATAATAATTAATATATTACCAATTTTACAGTTATAAATATAATCATTGTTTTTCTATTTAAAATAATCAAATATAGGTTCCCATCAACTGAAGTCTGCCGTTCAACTTGCTTTTAGAAATGGAGTGGATCTGAATAACGTAGAGGTATCTATCCTCACACTGGTTTGTTTAAATGCACTCTCACTACAAGTGCCAGTTCCTCTTGGAAAGCATGGCATATCCTAATTGTTTTCTGTTTCTCCTCCTATAGCTCTCACTAAATTATGGAGACTACTGCAAAATTCAATAAATACTCACACCGAAAAGGACAGTGGAAAATCCCAAACTTTTAAAGCCTGCCCGGGAATAGAAAAGCTTTCTTCCAGGCTGTTAGTCTCATGGCTTACCCACTAGGTCCCATTCTCCATTGGGGATATAGCCACTGGTATCTGCCTCCTGCATCTGCAGATCCAAGGACCAGCCTCCGTAAGACCAGGATCCAAACTTCAGTTTGCAATGCTGCACATCAAAGGGAAACCAGCGCACGTCGATGTAGCAGGAACTCTTGAATATGCCTGTGTGGGTGACGGAAACAGAAGACTGAAACGGAAGCTGATCGAGACGCGCTCAAAATACGCAGCAGTTCCTTCAGCCGGTTCCGCCCTCCGCACTGCAGCTAACGCAGTCCAGAGCAAACTGAAGCTGTCTCTTTATTTAATTGCAAAATCTTTAAAACAGAATCTCAGCTCAGCTTCACTGTCTTTTAAAATCCAAACGTAACACTGACATGCTCTGTCAAAAACTGTTTTGTGGGCTTTTTGTGCAAAAAGTTAGCTCTATAATCTTGCATTTACCATGAGCATCTTCAGACTCTAAATAATAAAAGTAAAGAATGCAAAATATCTCAGAGAAGTTGATAACAATGATGATGAGGTTAGAAATAGAATCTAAAAGATGTGTGGGTGTTGTGTGGGGTGAGGTGGGCATTTTCTTTAGGTTAAAAATTGGAAGAACACATGATTATCGAGAAATATAATCTAGAATTCTGGTGAAAGCTAGAATTTTAACTCATTTAAATTTTAGACCAAGAACAGAACAAGCTGGGCACCGTGTCTCATGCCCATAATCCCGGTGACTCAGGACACTGAGGTGGGAGGATCACTTGAGACTAGGAATTTGAGACCAGACTGGGCAACATAGTGAGACATCTCTAATAAAAAGATTAGCTGGGTGAGGTGGTGCATGTCTGTAGTCCCAGCCAGTCAGGAGGCTAAGGCAGGAGCGTTGTTTGAGCCCAGGAGTTTGAGGCTAAAGTGAAGTGAGCTATGATCGAGCCCCTGCTCTCCAGCCTGGGGAACACACCTAGAATCTGTCTGTAAGAAAAAAAGTTAAAAAAAACCAAAAACACACACAAAAAACCAGACAAGTTTAAGCTGAAGAGATGGTGCTTGAAGGAAGAGTTTCCACTGAAAAGAGCTATTCCAGGCTAGGACAGGTTGGAAGTGGATTTCCCAGAGGGCCATAGGGAGGAAACCAGAAGAGGCCACTCCAGTTATTTACGCTCATGTGCTCTTCCTGGCCCAGAGGAAGGCTGCGTGGCACAAGAAGACAGGCACAGACTCAGTGTCCAGGTGTTCCTGGGGCAGGGCTGGCGCTCTGCAAATTGCTGCTACTCAGTTACAGAAAGAATGCATGCAGGAAGGGCCTCCATAGCCTTGCAAAGAAGGACCCCACCCCACAACCGAGTTGGGAAAAGATACACATTTTGTCCCTGAAGTTCCTTTAAGTATGATTTGCGTCCTTACATGAAATGTTTATAGGAATCTGGAATTATCACCGACAATCCCGCTCCATTAATGGTTGGATCCCCCCAAAACCCACATTGTCTGCCAGTTAGAAAGCTTTGTAACTTCATGAGTCCATTTTCTACGAAATGGCCCGAGACAGAGAATTTCTAGAGACAGAAAGCAGATCAGTGGTTGCTGGGAGTAGGAATGGGAATTAACTGCAAACAAGCAAAAGGGATCTTGGTGGGGTGATGGGAATGTTCTAAAACTAGACTGTGGTAATGGTTGCATAATTCTGTAAATATACTAAAAATTGTTGAATCATGTACTTAAAATGCATGATATGTAAATTCTCTCTCAATAAAGCTGTTAAAAAATAAACACATGAAATGGGGGGAAAAGTCATGTTATGATCAAGTCTCTATTTCAAAGCTTGAACTCATTTTTTTCTACCCCTACCCCTCTAACTACAGACAGGGCAGCATCCTGGGACTAGTTCTACATTCCCAGGGAGCAGGCAAGGGGTTTCCAAACCAGGCAGCCCTGGGCCTTTCCTGCCCGTGTAAGGAAGCCCCTCATGGTCACAGGACAGCGTGTCCTGTCCTGACCAGAATCCAGGGACACTGCAGTGGGGATGCAGGCCTGGAGGCCCAGAGGGGGCTGCTGTACTCGGGCAGCTCGAGGCTTGCAGTGCTCCTCCTGCAGCTGAAAATAGCCTCAGCCTTCCAAACCACCTGCAGCAGCATATTCTACACTGGTGACTACCAGGGCTAAAATAGCCCTCATAACAGAAGATGCAACGTGCAGGCCTGGCGAGAAAGACCTCGGGAGTGACGGAAGGCTCCCCCACTACCCCCATCTGCAAGGGTCCTGCTGGTAGGAGGAAATGCCAGGGCTTGCACGAAAGCAGATGCTTCGAGAAGCCTGAACAGCTGGACTTCTTCAATCTGTTCCAATATTATTGGGAGGTGTCTACCTACCCCTGGCAGGTTCACTGGCTCCTTTGTTCATTCAGGGGTAAATGCTAAGGTGAGCAAAGGCTGACTCTGCCCCCGGAGGCTATTCACCTGCTGACAGGGAGGGCAGGCAGACGGCAACCCAGAAGTCAGAGCCAGCCTAGCCGCGGCAGTGCGGTGTGAGTGCGGCCGTGTCTACGTGAGGGTGTGAGGTGTGGAATAGTGTGTAGTGTATCAGAGCACATAAGGTGTGTGTGGTGTGACACACGTAAATGTGTGAGGCGTGTGTGAGGATGTGTGGTGTGATATGTATATGTGCATGTGAGTTTAGCTGACGTGTGGTGAGTATATGAGTGTGTATGGGTGTGTGTGATGTGTGTGTGCATGTGAGCATGGGAGTGTAAGTGTGTGTGTGTGTGGTGTGTGCAGTGACTGCGAGATGTGCATGTGTGTTGTGTATGAGGTATGTGTGTGAAAGTGTGTGGCATGTGAGTGGTGTGAGTAGTGTATCTGGTTTGAATGTGCGTGTGAGTGGTGTGTGTGTGAGGGTTTTGAGTTGTGTGTGAGTGATGTGTATGAGGGTGTGAGTGGTATGAGGGTGTGTGTGAGTGGTGAGTATGAGGGTGTGAGTGGTATGTATGAGAATGTGTGTTAGTGGTGTGTGAGAATGATGTGTGTTAGTGGTGTGAGTGGTTTGTGTGAGTGGTATGTGTGGAGTGGTGAGTGGTGTGTGTGGGTGGTGTATTTGTGTGTGTGTGGTATGTGATGCGTGTGACTGGTGTGTTAGTGTGTGAGGGGTATGTGTGTGTGGTGGTTGTGAGTGGCGTGTGTTAGTGGCATATATGTGTGAATGGTGTGTTTATGAGTGGTGTGTGTGAGTTGTGTGTGGGTGGTCTGTGTGTGGTGTTTGTGTTTGGTGTGTGTGGTGTGTGTGAGTGGCGTATATGTGAGTAGTGAGTGGTGTGTGTGAACGGTGTGAGTAGTGTGTGGGTGGTGTGTGGTATTTGTGTGAGTAGTGTGTGGGGGTGGTATGTGAGTGGCGTGTGTGAGTGGCGTATATGTGAGTAGTGAGTGGTGTGTGTGAACGGTGTGTGTGGTGTGAGTAGTGTGTGGGTGGTGTGTGAGTGGTATTTGTGAGTAGTGTGTGGAGGTGTTATGTGAGTGGTGTGTGAGTGATGTGTGTGAGTGGTGTGAGTAGTGTGTAGGTGGTATGTGTGGGGTATGTGAGGAGTGTGTGATTGTGAGTAGTGTGTGTGGATGGTGTGTGTGTGAGTGGCATGTATGGTGTGTGAGTCGTGAGTGGTGTGAGTACTGAGGTGTGTGTGGGAATGGTGTGTGTGTGAGGGGTGAGTGGTGTGTGAGTGGTTGTGTGTGAGTGGGTGTGAGTGGTTGTGAGTGGTGTGTGTGTGAGTCATATGTGTGAGTGGTAGTTAGGTGTGGAGGTAATTGCAGGTTGCCTCTGAACAGAAAGTTAAACAGTTGCAGTGTGGGAAATCACCCTGGAATAAACACATTAAAAATCTTCTAAAAGATCAAAAACCCCAGCTTTCATCTCAATATGCTAGCGCGCACTCTGCATGCACCTCCAGGCCATAAACCTATTTCCCTTGCCCTGTGAATCCGACTGAAAAAATGAGCCGGTGAGAAAGAACCAATCCAGGGGGCACTTAGCCTTGGAGGTAGAGAGAGAGGAAAGAGACTGCTGGGAAGAAGTCAGTCACTAGAGAGCTCTGCCTTGAAACCACCAGACCTTGCCTGTAACCTGCATGTGCTCTTCAGCGCACACACAGGCTCCCGGAACTGTCACATCTCACCCCCAGCAGCTGGAGCGCTGCACCTGCCAAGACAGTGAGTCCCGCGGGAAGGAGGATGGCGAGTGGGAACGGGGAAGCAGAGCCTGGACAGGTGGCTTGCAGGCTGGAAGGTGAGGTGGCTACTGCCTGGCAAAGGACACTTGCTGTACTTGTACATTGGCTTTAAGGCACACATGGCGGAAAATAAGGACACATTGGCAAAGACGGCTTGATTGAGACGAGAGAGGAGGATGACTTCTGGGGGTAGAAAGCACATAGAAGCACAGAAAAGAGAGAGGAAGTGGTGGGAGTGAGCAGAGGCGAAGCAAAGAGCTGGTCCCCCACACGGGGGACACCGGCCAGACACCCAAACTCGCTTCAGTCTTCTAACTGGAAGAGGACAAAGAAAGTGCAGCTTACCTGGAGGCAGGTACTGGCAATGCCCAGAAGAATTCACCAACACGTTGGTGTGGAATGTGGCGTCAAAGCGCTCATCCGCACTAGAAACAGGAAAAGGATGCATGAGCCAGTGCCACCAGGCTGTGGATTTCCCGAAGCCCTGGGGTCTGTCTTCGCTGGTGCAGCAGAGTCCTTGAGAGGGGCCCCTGTCTGTCCTCACAACCCCACACCCCGCCTGAGAGCACCACTGGGGCTGGCCTGGGAGGTCTTCCCGGAGCACAGCTTGGAGGGGGCCAGTGTCTACCCCCATTTCAATTTTCACACTGAACTGTAATTTTTTTCACGATATATATAAAATCAAGCTCTTAACCAAAATGAAACCTGTAAACAACTTTGGAGAACATCGGCAGATGTGACATTTTCACGATACCTAGAAAAACAGAGGGTGGGTGAGGCACGCTGCCACCCTGTGAGCCTCATGGGACAGGGTTTTCACTCGCTGTGTCCAAAGCTCTAGTTCCAGCCTCTTGAAGGGGGCCCACACTTGGTTCATGCCTCACATATATATCTTTTTTTTTTTTTTTTAGACCAGAGTCTCGCTCTGTCGCCCAGGCTAGAGTGCAGTGGCACGATCTCAGCTCACTGCAAGCTCTGCCTCCTGGGTTCCACGCCATCCTCCTGCCTCAGCCTCCCGAGTAGCTGGGACTACAGGTGTACACGCCACGCCCAGCTAATTTTTTGTGTTTTAGTAAGACGGGTGTTCACCGTGTTAGCCAGGATGGTCTTCGATCTCCTGACCTTGTGATCCGCGCCTTGCTTCCCAAAGTGCTGGGATTACAGGTGTGAGCCACCGCGCCTGGCCCCACATATAATATCTTGAATGACTGAACTGCAGTTGCAGGAGGAGCTGGACACCAAAACCCGTACAGGGCTTCCAGCTCCAGTTAGCGATGAAAAGAAGAGAAGTGGGGAAGACAATAGAAGTGCAAGTTTTAGATGGATGCACCTCTTCCCCTCTCCTTCCCCTGTTCCAGCCTCCTGCAGCCAGGAGTTACAAACTGGGATAAGGACATACACACACATAGCAGCAACAGCAATTACACCAACAGCCTGTACTAGCCTTGTCTTCTTATATTTTCTGGATTCTGATGTGTTGACATCTGGGCTTGCTGACTCTGGAAGGGCTCCTGGAGAGATAGTAAACAACTCCGGCCTTTCAACACAAATCAATCAATCTAGAACCATACACCCACCCAAACACATCCTTTATCAGGCTGTCACACTGCGGGTTGACACCAGTCCTGCTCTCATCACTGCAGGACCAGGTAACACCCAACCAGGAAGAGTCCCTATGCCCCAGGGCCTACTGCAATTATTCTAAGGGCCAATCCTAAGCCTAAGCCTGCGTGCCCTGCTCCTCCTTCCTTCCTGCAGAAGCCACAATGAAGGAAGGTCTTTGCTCAGGTTTCCCGTGCCTCCCTGTGTCCCTGCATGTGCCGGGCTGTGCTTTTTTTTTTTTTTTTTTTTTTTTTTTAGATGGAGTCTCCTCTGTTGCCAGGCTGGAGTGCGTGGGTGCGATCTCGGCTCACGGCAACCTCTGTCTCCGGGTTCAAGCAGTTCTCCTGCCTCAGCCTCCTGAGTAGCTGGGATCACAGGTGCGTGCCACA